TTTTTTTTTGTGTCTGATGTGGTGTAATTTGCTTTACTGTGAAAGTAGGCTGTGAAGGAGGAAAAACAGTAGTAGTACTCCAAATAAATCTTAGAGTTTCTCACATCATGCCTATAAAGTAGCTGGTTAAAATTGATTATTCCCAACTTGAATCTGAATCAGAGAAGTTATGTGCTAAAAGAATATGTCTTATAGCTGCTAAGACCTTTCTGAAGTCATTTCTCCAAAGGATAAAATGTTGGGCAGTATGGATACATTAAACTTGAGAATAATTAATTTTTACTAAGCTCCCAAATGAAATGAATGGAAAGAGAACCAGAATGACTTTCTGCAATTATAGTGTTACAAAATATTACTTAGAAGTTAAAATGAAAAATGCTCTAAACATCTAAATGTTATTAATACTTTGAAAAATGAAAAGGTAACAAAGGCCTGAAGGTAATGTACTAGTCAGTCGTCTTTTAAAAGTGGTCTCTAAAGTGAAAGTAAGGCAAACATTTATTTTTATATGACCATTTGCTTTTTTGTAAGTTAAAATATAAAGAATACTTGTGCATACTTGCGTCCATAAAAGGCTAGGTAACAGGCATTCACCAGAAGTTACCATCTGTTCTGTCCCAGTGCTGCATATTCACAGTGCTGACCTGAAGAACAGTGTTTTGTAACCTCACGATAGTGAGAAAGGCATCATTTACAAAATAATATTTAAAGATATTTTGTATATTCCTCAATAGATGGACGATTGCTAAAGGAAATTAAGTATGATGATGGATTCAGTGGTTACATGTACTCATATATGGAAAAATTCAGTTTTGCCGACCCTCAGAGGTATGTAATGCATTTACGTACCAAAGCTTTCTAGGAAAGTCCCCAAAGCATCTCTATATATTTATATTACTAGATATGTACACAGACACCTAAGTTGAAGGCAGCTGCCTTCAATTTGTGCCTAAGTCTGTACAGGACTCTCAGTGTACAGCTTAGGTACTTTACACACCCCACCTCAAGGTTTCATCTGGCAGGCATATGCAGAGCATGACTAAATTTCACACAAAGACGGTTTATATTTTAGCATTTTGGAACAGTCACATGGAAGGAGGAGACCAATGTTACAGTCCCCAGGTGAAATCTGATATCTCCCCTTCCAGGAGAGTGCCATAACCATTAGATTATATATGTTCTAAGATTGCACTCAATTAGATTTTTCTACATGAAAAAAAGTGAATGTGCAGTGAACAACAGTGTGAATTTACAGTACCCTTGCTACTCCCTGCTAACTCCCCACATGGGAATTAATTTACACATTTCAATTTTGGTAAGCTGACTTTTACAAAGGCACTTCTACTGTGTGCTCTGGTTATATACACACAGTTTTGCTAGCATCCAGTCTCGAGCTTTAACTCACTGACCGACATACTGAACTTTGTGTTGACCTTAGAGCCAGAGGAATGCCAGATAATACGGCTGAACTTGTTCTTCCTCTGTCATACAAGTTACAAATTGGTGGACGAAATAATTGCAAACATACAGAAACATGGGCATGGCATTTGGTAATTAAAGAGAAGTAATAGCTTGTTAAGTTCCCTTATTAGTGTAAGTGGTCACCCATGGTTTGAGGTAACTATTTTGACTTTACACAGAGTATTCATGTGGTCATCTACTGCTGAGAGAAAATTTCAAAACCCAGTACTGTACAAGGGAGATGCTTGAGTGCTTGAGCATGTGAGCTCTTCTACTTTCATTGCAAAGTCAGCCAGGATAATTTAAACATATTGAAATACAATATTTGAACCTCGTAGAATGATTTTATTTTACCTGAGTGAAAAATCAACATCCTATCATGTTACATGGCCAAAAAGGCAATTTCAAAAGAAAACAAAACAAAACAAAAACACCATGAGATCATGATGGGCAAAGAGCAGGGCTCAGTAATTTTGTGAGTCATTCTTTTACGTATCTGACTGCAAATATAAGAGTAGTCTGTTAAGCATTCAGTCTTTGAATATTTATTGAATTTAAAAACTTCAAACATTTTAATTAGCCCCTTCTTGCTTAATCATTGTATTTCCAATGCAGCTTTTAAGAATTTTGGCATCTTTTAGAGCAGGTAACAATCTTTTTTTTTTTTTTTTTTTTTACTTGATTTATATACATGCACTCTCACACAGATAAAATCAACATTCTGCAATTACTGTAAAGACAGAGAAATAACTGTATCCTGGTGTGTTGTTTGGGAACCATTGCCATACTGTAATTTTCAGTTTTGCTTGGATAATTGCCTTGCCTGTTATTCAGGTATATCATTTTTACTCTCACCCTCCTTCACTTTCTTTCCTCATATGTTCATATATTTCCTTTAGACACACCTGAAGAATAATGAGACACAATGGATACGTAATGTTCTACCTATTTCAGTTGTAGTTCAACATAATTCAAATAATTAGTATTTAAGATGGTGATACTTCCTGCAGAAACTCTAAATGGCTTCCCATTCTCCTAGGGTCTGAACACATTTTCTACATTAGAATATGCTCTTTGCTTGATGAGTGATAGATGCTTTTCTCTGATGGTTGAGCAGGGAGCTTTGGCAAAATTTTGAGATAGCTCTATCCAGTGAGATTGAGGGGAGTACCAGCAGGCATGGGAGCTGATGTGACTTTATCATATTCTGTATGCGCTGGGAACCACACTTACACATAGAGACGCTGGTGAGTATCCTCTAGAGCAAGCATCAGCTCAGGAAGTAGGTAATATTCAGGCTCATGTTTGGTAGGTCAGACTACAAAGGCAGTGGGGTTCCCTTGATGCTTGGTAACAGTCACAGATAAGTAGTGCGTAGCAGGCTGTTAGACCTCATGCTCAAGGCCAGCTCTCAGAAGGAGATCTAGAAGTGAGTTGGTGGCCTCTGGGCTTTGGCAGAAGGCGCAGCAACCTATGGGTATCTGTAAGTAGAGAGACGCTGTTGTCCTCATCTCCTTGAATTGGACTAAAGGATTTGAATATCTCCCAGTCTGAACTACAGAGGAGGGGAATAGAGTCTTGTATCTGTTTTATCTCAGTCTCTGGAAAATACATGGTTAAATAAGAACTGTGGCCTTCTGTTCAAATTCAACTATTTCAGTGCCCGTGTCATCCTTTCTTCTGTTGTCAGAACCAATGTGTGATGTGATGATGTAGGAAATGGCAGCAAATACTGTGGTTAAAATATTTCTAGGCTTTGCCTGCTTCAGTGTAGGCTCTGCAACAGATCATAAATGTCATGATCACATATCAAGTATTCTAAAATAGTAGATTATTTTAAGAAATAGTATCAGATCATGTATTTGGAGATCAGCAATTGCCCAGGAAAAAAAAGAACAAAACAAAAAAAAAAACACAACAAAACACAACACTTACGGCTGACCCTCCAAATTCTCATATATGAATGTCATATGAATAATGTCCTTTGCATGGATAATCTCAAGTATGACTCCTCCATTGTAATTTGCTGCCACACTAATGCCAAAATTTATTGTTTAAACTGGGGCTGTTTTCAAAGCGAAGCTGAATTAGTCCCCAGCCCTGTATTGCAGCATCTGGCTTCTGACATCTCTGTGTCTTGATGTGCCCCAGATCTGGAGATCTCCAGGGACCCTCGGAAATGCTTGTTCCCTGGGGGTGCAAGATGGGGCCCAGCAGAATTGTGCTGCCCCACAAAAGCTCCATCACCTTGTTGTAGGAAAGCTCACCTCAGCTGCAGTGTGTGGCATAAAGTACAGTCGGTGTTGAGGCCAGAAGGAGTTAGAAAGCAATTGGCACCTAGCAGGGAGTGAGTGATCATCACCCCGAAGTCACGGAGTGTATAACCCTCCCCTCCTACTCCTCTCTGGGAGACTGACCTAAATTTTTTAGAAGTGGGGAGTGTGCAGACAGGAAGATAGATGTGTACAGAAAGTCTAAACAAACTGGTTGCACTGCCCCCGTGCTCTGAATTACCAGTCTGTTCCTTGCAGATGGCAAAGATCCTCCTGTTCTGCACCCGTGGTTCCTGTTGGTATTAGGGAATTCTGCAAATCTGGTGGACATGGCCAACAAAGGCAAATTTAAAAGAGAGGATAATTTTGCCCACAGCTATGGAAGATGAGAATTATGTCTTGTTTCAGCTCTGTGGGACACCACACTGTTACATACAGCACGTTAATGTTAGGGTGTTTTATTGTATCAGTCTCTCATGCTGTGTTCATTTGTATGGACAACATGACTTCCATAATATTTGTTTTAGGGTCATTTTATTACTTTAATAATGAAGATTTGGATTGTAATTAAAGCCTGTATGATTTGTTTTAATAGCTAGCAGCTTGGTTCAGCATATGTTTAGATATTATAAAACTGCTTCAATAGACAATGAATTCATTTGTCCCTTTTGCTTATTAAAATGCACGTGTACTTCATCAGGTTTATTCTTTGTGAATTTTATGAGTGTGGAATTAAATAATAAAGTCACATGCGAAGACATGCTAAATTTGGGTATTGATTGATTATGACTGCCCTTGTGAGAGAAAGAACTGAGAAAGCAAGTAATGATAATTGTATTTAACATTAAAATAATAACATTTTGCATATTTAACCACATCTTATGAATGATCCCACTACTGTGTCATATGGCATTGTTAAAATAGATTGCTGACCAGAATAAATTTATATGATTATAGATTATAAATTTATATGAATTATAGATTTCATGCTTTTTACTTAGTAGTTCTACAAATGAAGTTCTTCCTTTTAAAACTCCACCTTTCAATCACATTTGATTGGTCCTGTTTTTATCATTTATTAAGTGGCATTCTCTGTCTTTTAGCATGATCCTTACTGTCCTTTAGCACTCCTTATACAAAGATATAGTTTTGCTTCCCTTTCATTAAGTTCCAGTATTTTCTGACAGTGAGCTTATGTTGTCCACATCATCTGCTACAAAGATTATTTTAACTTCCAGTTCCTTTAAACTGTTTCTCTTGTAACAGGACCCAGACCCATGAGGTGTTGAACATTTCTGATGAGGAATTGGGTACCTTCAACACTATGTGACTGTGAAGTGACTCCAAAGCAGCTGAAACAATATTTGGTGAGGATTTCATAGACTTTATTGTGATACCTAAATATCATACCCCAAGCCAAAGTCCTGTTAATCAGTTTTGTTCTCCATCCATATATTACAGGGAAGAGAACTGGAAAAACACGAACTACTGGGTTTTCATTTGTGTTCTCTTTCCTCCATTTCTTTTCAGTGGAGAAAGAACAAAAGAATCCTGCCTTGTTCCTTTTTGTTTTATTAGTGATCGTTCTAGCACAGTCTTTTGTATACCTACATAACAGCATCACTTGTAGCCGCCAACTACACTTCTTACTCTGGAATATCTTAAATATCAAAATGTCTTGTACAATAATGAGGTAAATACCATCATCTCAAAAACTGTCAGAATAAATATTTGGATGTATCTGCTAATTTATTGTAATCCTAGATCGTATTATCTCAAGTTTTGAGATAGTTGTCATCAGAATCCATGTCTGAGTCTTAAACGGTCAATGCTTTTGTCTGTGGTCTACACTGCCTCATGAACTCCTGTTCTGTATTTCTAAGACAGTAAAAGACTTTCTGTGGCATTTTGTTTTCATGTCCTGGTTGAGAAATCAATACATTTTTAAATGTTCTTGAACTGGGTAAAAAAAATAAAATAAAGATTAATGTACAATTTAAACTGTTTAAATGTACAGTTGTCAAATGTTCCACTGCAGTCTTCCAGAATAATCAGGTTATCCACATATAAACACACACACATTTAGTCTTCAAGTTATGCTCAATAGGGTCTTAAATGGTGTCCTTGGTTACCAATACATGTATGTGCTGTTCCAACAAGAGGTTCCAGCTCTGAAGAAGCATCTTAAGTTTTAATTTGTGTTTAAATACTTTACCAAGTCAGGGCCTAAAGTGTTGCAACTCAGCATTATTAATTTTATTAATTTCTGTTCATCAATATAGCTATTTAAATAGATTAAGAGTTGGAGGGAAAAACAATCCAACAAACAAACAAGCAAAAAAAACCCAAACAAATCCAGAGGTTTACATGGCTTAGCCAGTCAGAAAAAACAATGGGAAAGTGAAATGTGTCATGGTTGGAGTACATGAACATGGAGTACATGCTCCATGGGAGGTGTGGGACTCAGTACCATGGTTGGTATGATATAAACAAAATATCCTCCTCCATTTATTTTTAAAATGGGTTAGAAACAGATTATGGAAAGTATTTTATGACATGGTTGCCTGTGATAAGAAGGAACTGGATTCAGTAGCCTCAGAGGTCTTATTGTTGTGTTCCTAGGGAGGAAATTTGTTGCAGAGCCAACCATCCTGCCTCCTTATTCTTGTCTGCCTTACAAGACTGGGAAGAAAAAAAAAAATGTGAAAATGAGCTTCTATTTGTTTTGCCACTGGATTTGTTGAAGTCTATTTGGGAAGATAGTGAGGCTAATCTCACTAATGGCCTCATAAATGTTGCCCAGTTTGGAAAGTAAATGGCTGCTGTTGCAGCATTCAATTTTGAGGAAAGGGCTTATTTCAAAGAAAGTCTTCAGAAATCTGTGTTGGAACCTGTGTTTCTGGTTAGGGCACATCTCAGCTTTGTCCCTCTGCAGCTTCACAATCTAGAGATGTCATGATGATATAACAGAGATCTGTGGGAGTAGTTTTTATTTTTTTTTTAAAGATTTTTTCCAGAAGCAGAAGTGAACAAATCTGAGCCACTGGCTATCTGTCAGAGTGGTTACGGTGCTAATGAAAATTTGGAACGCCACTGCAAACTGGAATGTTTGGCAGAAGCAAAACACTTCTGTGCTGTTTATGAGGTATATAAAAAGGTCAGTGTTACTTTATAGATTTTTAGCCTTAGCAGTATTTTCTTTTTTATAATATACTTTTTCTTGTTTTCTAACAGCCGTGACTTTTTGTTCTGGATATGAAATGTCACTTTTTGATTGGTTGGTGTATTGTTGGAAAATACACTGTTTTTCTAAATTCCAGACACATTTTGACTGTACCATTAAGAAAACATTGCTCCTGGAATAATAAACAGTGGGGTTATTTTAAGCTGTTGTCTTACATGTCTAAATCTGCAAAAGAAAGTGTGAGAATAATAAAGGAATGATCAAGGCTAGATTTCTTTAGTTCTACCAGGCAGGTCATCAGTTGGCCTATTGGCAAAACTCCATTCCTTGTAATGGACCTACATGTATTTCCAGAAGTTGCAGGTTTGGACAGTAAATGTTTCAGAATCACTATCAACAGACATACCGATTTTTTCGTACCAGGATCCTTTTTTAAAATTATTTTTTAACATTTTTTAAATTTTATTTATTTATTTATTGTGATGCTAACATGCCCCTCTGTAAATAAAAGGAAGAAAATGATTTATTTATTTATTATGCTTCTAGACAATTGTGTTGACCAGTAAAGGCCAGCATCACATAGTGAGGTAAGACTTTGTGCTAGAAATGCACTGAACCCTGTACAGCATATAAGTAGTTTGTTCCTCAAATGAAATCAGATTTATTTTTTTTTTAAATCCCTAATGGTTATTTAGGAGGGGAAAAATATATATTTTGTAGCCCTACCAGGTGCTTAGATTTTGGGAGGCACTGATATGTCCTGAAATTCAGAGCCATGTATGTGTGTCTAGCACAGATAAAGGGCTGCAAAATGTTGGCGGTTTGCATTCTCTCCTGTTCTGATTCCCTCAAAAAATCTACCTATTCTCCTTTTACTAGCAACTTTTCTTCTAGGTACAAAACTGAATGCTAAGGAACACAATTAAAGCCCATTGATTTAAACTACATCTTATTATTTTAATATTCAAGTGACTGTGCTCCCCCTGTGTGGCCTACAGTACATAGGTATAACACGGTATTAGCAGCTGTGAAAACAGTCTGCCTTCCCTATGTTTAGATACCTATCTGTGGCTAGGGAGTAACAGAGGAAGTCAAAACTCCAAGAATATAATGAGGGTAGGGAATGTACAGTCGGCGCATTTCTTCCAAATCTTGCTAAGTAAAGCAATTTGAAGACTTGTCCTTTTGTTCTGCCAAATTTACCAATCTGAACTTTGTCTGACAGATTATATACACTTAATCTCGTTCTTTCAAAGACAGGCCTCTCTAGTGCTGTGAGGTTGTGGCTCATGACTTAAATCTTCCTCCCTCAGAAACTGATGTGATTTAGCCTGTATAGAGGCATAGGCAACAAGGTTAGATATGAGTAACACTGCTAGATCCCCAAGAAATAGAGTTCTAGTGTCTGTTTGTGAAGTAGCTCTTCAACAAGCAGTATCTGTTGAAGTGCAGAAAGTGCAGAAAACTTTTCAGATCTAAATTAGGAGGTATGCTAAAGTTATACATGTCATTTAGTAGATGATAGGAGATGTGATAGAAATTGGTCAAGGTAATCAAGATTTAAAGAAAAAAATAAAAATATAGATTCTTTACAATGGTAACATACACTTTCCAGAGCAACCGTTTCTGGGAAGATAAATCTTTCTTTTTGTTCTTTCCAATATATTATATACAATATATATATATATATATATATATATATATAGTATATAATTGTATATTGTATATTATATATATTATGGCTGTTTGAGACAAGTGATCAGTCTAGAAAAACTAGACAGTTGAGTACAACCTTGGCAGTTGAGAGGACAGATGTCTTTGAAAGGGCACCCCTCATTTCCAGCAGGATGTTGCTGCCTTTTGTAAGTCAGTCATTAGACTAATTTCTTAAAATTATACTTTGGTCTTGAAACTAAAAACTGTGTAGCACAGGCATCCTGATGGGTTCTTATTCATCTGATGTAGAAGTTAAATAAGGTGCCAACAAAGCATGAAGTCTCCCCTTTAGACAGGAGTTGTCAGTACCTTTCTGGAGATGAGCAAACAGATTATCTAGATGTTTTGGCATAGATCACCCCTTGGGACTCTTATTGCATGTTTTCTTTCATGGGTCTAGACATTTGGAAGTGGCTGTTGCTGTTCTCTAACTCACAACCTATTTATAATCCCCCACAGGAGGGGAATTTATGTGTTCTCTTTTCATTTATTTTAATTTGCTGACTTTATGGCATTAAAAACAGTAGTAAGGCATATAAAATAAACAAAAACTTAGATAGACAGTAGTCTGGTGAACTGTTTCAGGGACCCAGTTTTCATGCATAAATTGTTAGTAGCCACCCAAGCTAAAGAATTTTGGTGTGATCTCTATTATTTTCTCTGTCTAGATAAAGTTGTCCTTCAGATCACTGTCACCTTTTGCCCCAGGTGATTGCATATGTTTCTGAGTATTTTGGTCCCAAGTCACGGGCTTGATGTCAGTCACTTTATTCTTTCCATCATTGTCATCTTTTTTCCTAGAATAATGTTTTAAAGCCCTAATTGGAAAAAAGCCCTACAGTGGTAAAGAATGATTTCTAACTGGAGCAGACAAAATAAACCAGAAATGAAATAGGTTGCCACAAATCAGAAGGAGAACCTGTGTAGAATTATATTTCATCTAGTTCTATATACTGTCTTTTTCAATGGTGCTTCCCATTGGACCTCCCTTCTTCAACCTAGCTACTCGAATGTTACATTTCTTCAATGCTTAAAAATGTTTTGTGACTTCCTTACTTTTTAATAAATATCCACTTACTAAACAGCTTCTTGATCACTGTATTGCCTTTTAATATCATTCCAAATTTTCACTGCAAGATTTTAGTTTGGTAGTTATTATTACAAGGATTTTATTATTACAAGGATCCAGGCTCTGCAATCTTTTGATTTTGTTAAAAAACAAACAAAAATGGGCAAAATGCTCACAAAAATCTGAAAACCTTTTACTCCTACAAATAGATGAGTTGAGAAAAGTATCTTATGTCAGGCAGAGAATAAGTAGCCAAAAGCCTTGTGTTACCTTGCTGATGAGATTTATAAGACAGTTTTCAAATCATATGGATTATATTCTTACTAGGTCAATCTTGCATTATTTTTTGCTGCCTATTCAGTGATTCTTCGGTACAATCTTTCAGTAGCTGTTTACTTTGCATATCGCTGTTATGTGATACACATGTACTTTAAAATTGGCTACCTGATACCCTGAGAACCTGGTAATGTATATGGTTTGATGATACTTGTTTCGTATAGGAAAAACTAGACTGGTACAAGTAACTGCAGAATGATCTGGACAGTTGATTAGTAATCTGAGCTGGTGCTTATAGGGGTAGGACAACATGGAAAGGATCTTCTTAGGCTGAAATTGGAAGGGTGTCTGCACCACTTTGGAAAGGTGCAAGGGGCTGGAATAATTACTTTGTCACTAGGTCTGTGGATTGGTCTGTAGTTTTAGGGTTATGTACTGCCCTGAGCCATTAACTGTATACATTGTATTATTATTATTTTTTAATCCATATAACAGAAAAAGTTGTTTTGAACACAAAGCTCTGCAATGGTTTGTAAGATTTAGATTCTTTTTCAACTCTTCTTCTTCCCTGTTATTTGCCTTGTTCCCGTCCTTATATGCTGCTATGAAAGCTGCTATGTTAGCATGATTCTTTCAGCAGATGAAGCAATCAGCAACATCTATACACCCTGTGACTGGGATAGCCAAGACCCCATTTTTCTCATTGTGTCCAAGTCTGTATTCTCTAATCCCCTTGGTATTCATATTTTAAAAACACAGAAGCTGATTTTAGCAACACTAAAGCCAATGAGAAATGCAAGAGCTCCGCACCTCTGGGAATCCGGCCCACATCCCTTTTGTTTTGAGTGTAGAATGGACCCTAAATGAAAAACCTTTTGTATTTTGGAAACTAGGAGGAACTGAACCAAATTTCTTCATACTTGGCAAAAACAGAATTACTTTTGATGGAGAACAAGCATGGAAAGTTCTAGTCTGAGAGAATTATTTTTGTCAAGTTATGACAAGTCTGAACACAGAGTTTTGCATAGAAATCCCTTCTCATTTTACTGTCTACAGTGACAGTAGAATACATTTATGCAATCCCCCCCTCCAAAAAAAAAAAAAAAAGAAAAAAAAAAAGGAGGATTTAGATTTATATTCACCAAACAATTACTAGTAAGCAAAAACAAAACCAGATCAGCATAACGATGTTTTTGTGAAGCGTAACAATTTTGGTTTGGCCCAAATATACAGATACAGATTTGGACTTTCTGTCACAGGTTGCCAAACATTTGTTTTCATTTAGATCTGTGTATATGTGCGTGTGCATATTGACAAAGAGAATTTGACTCCAAGGAGAACAGAAGTACGATCCAAATCCCAATACAAATCCTTCCATTGACTTCACTGGGAGTTGGATCAGCACCTTAGTGAAAATTTTCAAAAGAGAGTGTCCAGAGTTAAACTACCAGTTCTTCATCCAGCTCTCATTGAAATCAATTAAATATCTCCATTAACTCTAATTGTTGTTGTATCCAGCTTGAAAATAGACAGATTTTACATAATCAGACATATAGAGTCTCTTCTTTTAGGTGTATTTTGAACAGTCTAGGGCATGAGAATTTACGGACAGAGGACTCAAGGCCAATATTAACTGAGTACAAACTATTAGAGGTTAGAAAGTAAAATTGCTTGCTTTTAAAAGGGTATGTTTTCTGGAGTAAATCAGAAGTCTTCATTCTCTGTAAATTGTTTTTCGGGTTTAAAAAGGATTGAACTGTGGCTGCCTCTTTGTTGGTTCTGGTTCAGAAAAGCAACCCTATTCAGACAGCAGTAAAGCAATGCAACTTAAGTATATGCGTAACTCCTTTCTTAAGAAGGGATAGAATTAAACACATGCTTTAGTGATTTCCTGACCTGGGGCTTTTATTTTCCTTCTGTGAATATTAGTGAAAGTACCTTTTTGTTCATAGGAACACTCATGAAAAGCACATTTTGAGCCCCTGGCTGAGATTTGCTTAATCTAATCAAGTAAGAGAAAAATCACATGATGTATATTAGGTAACCTGTTGCACAATTTGTGGGTGACCATTAAATTATTTCAGATAGTAAAAGTTGTAATAACTTCTAGTGTAATCTCAGATAATTCATAAACATAATAGAGATCTGTTCTCTAGTTCTGGATGTTCCCTCAGTAAAGAACATTGCAAGATGAGGGATATATTTTGCTAGAAAATAAAAACACCTGAAAGAAACTTCAGATGTATTTTTTTTCTTTCTTTCTTTTTTTTTTTTTTTCATAAGGCAAAACAAAACAATAATTGTCTTCAAAGAGCTTCCATTGTCTACACTGCTCAGAGATTTTCTGATTGAAAAGAAATACATCCAGTCTAAACAGTCTCCTTGTGGTCAGACTTGCAAAACATTGTGCTTAAAGTACACCTGTGGAAATTACAAAAGAGCTAATAGCCCTTACAGATAGCTTCAGGTACCTTTCAAACAGTATTACCAAGTTTATTTATGCAAGCTCAGATGAATATGATATTTGTGTGAAGAAGTGTGTATTTGTGAAATGCTTTAGAAAACACTTGGGAAAACATTTTTTATGTTTTATATGTTTATGTACACGTTCCATATGTTAGACAAACTTTGAAAAACTTTTAACCAGAGATTTCTGGGTCAAATGACCTCATTTATTATTTGTAAACTAAGCTATCTAATCTGGCCCAAGGTCTTTTTATCATATGGTGTAAATCAAATAAACTCATCTGTTCCTCGGGCTTATAATTATAGGGAGTTTTCAAGTCAACAGTTAAATATGAGCTCTGTTCATCATAGGGCCAAAATGGATCAGCGATACTACAGAAGAGTACCAAGGGCCCCAGAACTCTGCACTAAAATACTACTCATTTTTCATTCTTCTGAAGGAAGTTCTTAGCTCAGCTAAGTTCAACTGGCTCTTGCTGATGCCAGCCTGTCATCCAGAATCCATAAACACCCTGAAAAAAGAAGTAGCTCTAGGAATTGTTCACTGGCCTATGCATTTCTGGGCATCTTTCACAGAAGAGGATTTTCTTTGTTATTCCAGAAAAGCACTCTGCAGGGTGAATCACCTGTATCTTACAGGTGATAGGGTAGGGGCATTACATTAAGTACATTAAAATAGTGGCAGGGAAACTCTTCATTAGCAGTCTCTGTGCTGTCAGCTCTGATCTCATGTTTGCCAGAAAGGTTCATCCAGCCAAACAGGGGAGTTGAAGCAAAGCTGATATTATGGCAGTTGTTTTGATAAAGTGAAGACACAAGCATAAAGACCTTCATTTCCTTTTATCTTTTGTTTCCATCTAGGAAAAGATTTTCCACCTGCAAAATATCTGAACGACCCCTGCCATATCTCCTACCCACATGTGAGCAGAAATACTTCCTTCATTCCCTGCTTAGCTGAACTTTTCTTTTTTTTTTTTTTTTTTTTTTTTTGAGAAAAAAAAGGATACCGTAGTTTTCTTGAAGCAGATTGTACTTCATTTTATTGTAGTCTTGTATGCAATTGACAACTTCTGCTGACTCCAGCAGTGGGATAATAACTACTGGGACATGCTGTGGTTACTGAATAATAACTGCTGGGACAAAATCTGGTTACTGGACCAGGTTATTGAACAGCTGACTAGATGCAAAAATCTAGGTATATAGCACCTACATCCATAACATCTAGGTATATAGCATCTATAGCATGACTTTCTGCAACATGCTTCTCTCACTGAATGCAGCATGAGCAAGAGGTCATGGACTGTTCTAGCATGCTCACGTACTTGTTGATATAATGAGAAACAACACTGAACGTAAGCAGACTAGCTACAAGATTGTAGTATGCTGAGCGCAGTGGAGAGAAATTTAATCCATATTAATTCTTGAAAGAACAAGATAGGATCCTGTTGTTTTAAAGTGTAAGAGAAGTGGATCATGATTTGAGACAGGAGACATGAGAGAAAAATCTGCATTGTGGTATACTTTCACTCAAGTGCCTCAAGTTGACCCTGAAATTAATTCAAATCTGTGTTATCCAGCAGACAGAACAACTACCAGGTTGAGTTACATCCTGCCAGTTTTGCAATTAAAATGGATTTCATTCCAAAATATTAATTTTGTGAAAAAAAAAAAAAATCTATTCCTGGGAAACACTGTTTTGTGGCCAGAATTCTTATATGCTTTTTTAGCTAAATAAAGATGTGTTGTTTCAGAATTATGACTCAGCAAAGGTTATCTACAGTAGATGTAGATGTAGCATTATCATCAGTATTTCAATAGACAGAGGATGGCTAATAATTTATCCGCCTTCTTGAGTTCAAAAGTTCACTTTTGAACCATTTTGGGTTCAGTGCTAGGTTTTGTTGATGTCACAAAGTTCATTGAAATAGCATTTAACCCTTCTCTATATACATTTCATAGCATACCTTCAGTATGTTGTGATACAAATGTTTGAAAGAAACAAAAATAAATTATATCTAGTGTGTTCAGTTTAGCAGACCTTGATGCTACTGATGCAGACATGGGTTTGATTTTCCTGTGACCATTTTACTCAGTCATCTAGTAATCTAAGGATCAAAAATAGGCATAGAGAATGCAAATACCTAGGCACAATAATTTCTGAGGGATGAATTCTCAGAGCATGTAAACTTGATTGATGATTTGTACTGGCTGTAGATCTCACTTAACATATGCTCATTCTAGTTTGTAAATTTGTAAGTACATGAATATTTAATTTGATTTCAGGCATAACCTACATTTGTGAATGCTGTTGTTTATTTTGCATCAGTAAGTGGATATTTTGTGCCTGGCGGCTGTGCAACAGTCTCTAAAACTTATCTCCATTTGTTTTCTTCTCCTAATTCTAGTCTTTAAGATAATGATTTTTTTTTGTTTGTTTTCTGCTTTTGCTAAATTCAGTATGCTGTGTGGAATACTCTGCAGAAGAAAATTCTTTTCCTTGAAGCATGAAGTCAGTGCTAGAAATGACCTCTGTCATTACACTTGAAATAAAACAAAGGTAAAGAATACTTTTCCTTGTTTACTGGAGGAAGCTGCAGTTTTGACTCTATCTTCAGTTTTCAGGAGAATTAGTTGTCTTGGAGAATATGTCCTTGTTTGTGATTTATGCTTCTATTTCATATTAGTGACTAGATATATGTGTGAGGGATTCCTTTGCTTTCATACTCATTCTGTTTCTTTTGAACTCATACAGATGAGTTCATATAATTGTTCTATTTTAATTATGTACTTGGCTTTGGATTTGAGAACAGAAGACAAACAAACAAACAAAAACTTTGAAAAATATTGCAATTCCAGTTATATTTCTAAGTCTGTTACATATTGCAAGAAGGAAAAAGTGAAACATCAGGAGTTGAAACTGCAGAGAACAGAGGTCCAGATCCTTGCAGGTATCTAACATGTATAATGAATCATGGATTTCATTAGGAGACATTTAAACTAGAAAGCTGAAAGCATGGATGAAACTTAAGTAATTTGTTTATTATTCCTTTTATTGATTTTTAATTTCTCTACATTCTGTAGGGTTTAGCCTGAATAGGTATTTTTGGTGGGAATGTTACAAGTATGTCCGTGCACATTTAAACTCTTAGTGATTATCTCTGATAAATGTCTCTACTTTAAACATATGGATTTTTTTTTCCTGTTTGTTATATGTGATGAAACTAAGATTCTCCAAGCTACTCAAGACCTGAATACTGTTACAACAAATAAAATCTGAGTTTTAGTGAAGAAATGTGTTAGTATTCAACAGTTTAAAAAAAAAAAAAAAGTAAAAAAAATCTTTATTTGAAAAAGAAACTGCCATCAAACAGAGCTGAGAAAAAAAAAACAAACGTGGAATACAATAAGCAACATTCACAAGCTTTCTTGAAGTTCTCATAGTTGTCATATATCTGCTGTGTATATACATACATGTAACCAGTTATTGAGATTGACATAAATAGCAGGTGTGGATGTGGTAATGAGAGCAATAGAGATCAATAACCAATCACAATCCCCTTTTAGAATATATTCTGCATAATGCTCAAGCATATATGTCACCCCAAAGAACGACAGCTGATTTAAGTCATTAGATAGAAGCTAGCGTCCTTAATAATGGCAGCAGTACTTTGCTTCCCAGGGTGATTGCTAACTGACCAAAGCATTTCTTGGTTTTGATGGTCTACTGAAGATATAAACACTCAAGGGTTTCTGCAAATCATCAATAAAGCATTATGCAGCTTCTGCAGTACTCGGCCACTGATGTTGCCAAGAACACTCATATCAAACTATTTACGATAGCTGTGAAAACACCACCACCAGAGATCAAGTGGATATCTTTCCTTGCAATACGTGACTCTAGATTGGTGCTTCCAGAAAGCTACATTCAATGCAGTTCTGTCAACTGCATTACAGACTCATGGATTTTTCTTCCTGTCAGTTTTGAATAGCATTTTCACAATTGAACTTTTAAAATCACTTTGATATGCTCATTCTCTGTCTCTTGAGGTCTCATTAAGGCATGTGGTCATTCTTGGAGGTTTTGCATGACTTCTGCATATTACGGTGTTGGTAGGGAATATGTAGTTTACAGTGAATGTTACATGCATTTTCACGAACATACTAATGACTCTGAGAAGTAGCAGGTGTAAGACATACTTAAATAGCAAAGCTACTCTGTGACTAGGGAGAAGTACACTGACGAAGACCAGCTTGTTTTCATAGGTTGCTCTGCAATGTGAGATCATTGTTGATGAGAAAATTTTGGAGAAATCACTAAGATTTTTTTAATAGTGTACTTTTTTGGTCCTTTTTTTTTTTTCCTTGCTCCATTATCTTGTCCTCAGAAAGAATGCACTTACTTTCTGAAGGCAAAAATTAGTGTGCTAACCACCATGACTGTTAGGTAATCCTAACTTTATTATGGTCTATTTGGGTACTGCTCCATTTGCAGAAAGGTTGATGGCATGTATGAGAGGCAGCAATGAGAAACTGAGAATGCTAGCAAGCCAGATGCTGATTCCTGAGCAATGTTGTTTACAGTGATAGGTATATGCAATTTTATTGTTAAATACCACAATATAGACAGAAAGATTAGGAAAAGCAACCCTCCCTGTCTGTCAGGACATGGATCTTGACTCTTCTTTGACCTCAGTGCACTCAGACCCTGACTTAGTTTTATGAGTTTTTTTCTCGTGAGGTGATAACTGTAAAGAAGAAACTACACCAACCATTATGACATTTTCTAACGGGGAAGAAATGTATATAATGGTATGTCTTGCATTGTGGCCTGTTACTGATGGTTTCATTGGAAATTTTTATTGGAAAAATGATGCAGGGGAAATAAAACTTCCACCAAACAGCTTGCCTAATACTTTAACTGTAAAGCATAAAGAGAACAAGTTTCTAACTGGTAAAAATGTTTCTGAACTCTCACAAGGTATGTTTTGTTTGTAATCTTAGGGTCTTGAAAGACCAAATCATCAAGGCTGGTACTTAACACCCCACACTCCAACAAAATAGCCTTTCAGTCTAGGCAGGATTTTTTATGAGCAGTTTATAATCCATATCAAAATAAGGATTTATAAAGGAAGTGCTGACACAAATTTAGAACAGGATCCAATAAAAATGTTGTATGGCTTATGGAGTTCACAAACCTGCATAAGGTCACAGCTTTTGTCCTCAACCCCCCACAGCCTCAAAATGTGCTGTTGTTAGGTGCATGTGGATTTTTGTGGTAGCAAAGCCAAGCAAAAGAGAGAATAATTGAATTTGGCCTCTAATGACAGCAATGCAAATGTGTCACTCCATGTGTTCTACAACCTTTGCTTGTATAGTAAGTGACATGATATTACATTCTGAAGAGTAAGAAACACTTTTCTGACACAGAAGGTTGGGGAGAAAAGTAAGATTATGTGAGTTAAGTTTGAGTGAGTGACAGATGGGTTGAGAAAAACAGATTTATTTAATGTTATCTGCACTTAAAAACAAACAAAACAAATAAACAGAAATTGTGATGCATCTCGTCTCCTTGCTGATTTTCTTAGCAACACAATCTGCAGCAGTGGTCCTGTGTGGCAGGAAATTATCTGAAATAATGAACTGGACAAATATATTAAAACTGATACTCTTCACATCAGCATCAAAAATATAGAACCTGCCAAAAAATTCTAATTGCAGTATACTCTGTCCAAATTATTTTACTACTTGCCAAGGAGATCTTTGAAATATTTGGCAGAGTCTTCCACCAGGAGAAAATTAAAAAAGGGAATGAGGTGGAACACAATAAACAAACAGCCCCCACAATAAAATAGCAGGTTTGGGGGGTTAGTCCTTTTATGAAGAGCTGCTAACTGCATAACTCATACTAGGTAACTGCAATCAGAAATAATTTATCAGTGTTATCAGAGAGAAACAAAACACACTTAGATAAAAACCCTTCCAAACTTAAAGGTGATTATTTTTAGAACAGCTGCCTGAATACTATGATATTGACAAGGTGAATTGATATTTAAGATCAAATAAAATATCTTTCTATTCATTTACCTTGATGGACAAATATGACACATTAAATAATGTAGAGAAATGTCACTGGCTAAGCCAATTGCAAATTAAGCTCTCATGAATAACTCTAAAATATAGTTTTAAAATAGTTCCATGATCTTGGTTCACAGCCCCAGGTAACAGGAACCTGTCACAACAGTGACTTAAAGAGATTTATGATCTCGTATTAGCATGAAACTAAATACAATCAAAATCTTTCTTATTTTTCCTTTTTGTTTCCTATATATACACGGTAAATTACTAAGTATTATTTTGTCTTCATCTATGTATTTGTGAGATGGGAGTAGCACAAACACTATTCATAGGATGTGTCTGAAGAAGCATCGTGAGATTTTGTTTCAGTTCACAAGGTGTATACTGAGCAGAAAGATGTTAAAATACAGCTGCTAGTTCTGTCTAATTGGATCCCAGGCTCTATTTGTTGTAACCATTCTGTTTTTAGTATTCTAAAAACATTTTCAGGTTTTCATATCCATTATGGTGTCTTTGGTGGGTATACTTGATCATAGTGTGCCAGATCAAAGGTGTATTTAGGCAAGATTTTGACTCTAGACGACATTAATGCCTGTGAATCCTGCTTATGAAACAAAATTCACAGGAGGTTTGAGCTGCACAGCTAAATTTCAGTCCTTTAAGTAGATCTTCCTTCTGAGCTCTGCTGCCTTGGCCACAGACTTAGCGTGACTCCCGTTTCCTCCAACACCTTTTCTTTTCTGAGGGCTGGGAGTGGGAAGCACGAAATATTTCTGGATCATGTGTACCAGGGAGAGCTCTACTATGAGAGGATGGAGTGGTACCAGCAATGGTTGGTTCCCTCCACCTTTGCAGCTCCCAAGAGAGGTCAGAAACTGATTAGAGGACCCAGGTCAGAGATTTTTGAACTCTGAATTTGGCAGGCAAATGGAGGAGAAACAGTTTTATGGTACTTTGTTTTAAGATGTATTTATTTGTAACTGTGAAAGCTGCAGCTATATTGTGTTACTGCATCAGGATCCTAAGCAGATGTTTAGATTTTACAGAAAAGGGCATATGGAGGAATTTTTAGTTTTCCATAAAAAAAAAAAAAAAAAGTTACCTCGTGTTTTATACACTGATGCTTACAAGAAGACAATCTATGTCATTACACCAAGCTGTTTTAACCTAAAGATTTTTTTTTTTTCCTTTCTGATAAGGTTAAGTAAATCAAGATAAATGTGTAGTCTCCCTCCATAATACTGGAGCCAACACACTGCATCATTTTTGAAGAAGCTTGAAAGGAAATGACATAGGAATTTCTAAGGGTAGGATTTCTCAGACTTTTCTGTAATGTGATCATAACCTAACAGAAAGATGATGTAACTAATCAGTTTATTCATTTCATAGTTGCATAGACTATCTCTTGTTTCCATTTACATTTATATAGCAAACCTGTTGTTGAAGCCTGACCAATTGGTATGTGGAAAATATGTATTGGAGGGAAGGAATAACGTTGTATTAGTTTTCTCTTCATATGATTTATTATTATTATTAATTTTTATACAAGGACCATACCAAACATCGTTGTCCCTGCAAACCAGTAGAAAAGGCTGTGTGAACTCTGCCAGTCTCCACATTGCAATTGTTTGTTGAAGAACGTAAATGGGGAGCATCTACCTGTATATTTTAGTTCAACCCAGGTGTATACTTTCAAACAGTCTCCCAGTTGTCCCCACTTTACTTGCTTTGATATGCATTGGCAAGTGATCTTGGAGTACATGAACTGGATTCCTTTCAGATGAAACTATGTTGGAAGATATGCTACAGCATTGAGGCTAATGTATTCCAGCTGATACAGGACTTCCAGGCCATGGGAAGAATGATCCAAAGTTTAACAAAAAAGCAAACCAAAAAATCAGAAAGGCCCAAAGCATTATCCCTCAAATGCTTAATGTGTGGAATTTGGGTCCTCAGCAACAACTTTTTCACATTTAAATACTCTTCGCATTGGTGTGTAGTGCACGATAATGTAGATGTAGGTGTTTATTATTAGTAACCATTGTTTTAACAGAGTTCCAGCTTTAACTTGTTGAGATTACATATTTTTGTACACAGAGTTTTGGATCTGCATCACCATTTTTTCTATGTGATTCATGATGATTGAGACTGTCTTGAAGCTGTCTTAAAGAAGAAAATTCTTCTTAAGGAAGATCCCTCAAGTTTATCTATCTCTATTTTGTCAGTGGATTTCAAGATACAGGAAAAAAAAAATGAAATCAAAGTTACTCTATTCTCTGTTTAACATTTAAGTGGTAGTTCTTCTGTAGAATCTGATTTGAGGTATGTATATATAAAGAATACCTGTATATAGGTGTATTTACCTACAGAAAAGGATGCTCAGGGGAAACATTATGACTCCCTGCAACTACCTCAAAGAAGGTTGTAGCAGAGTGGTGGTCAGTCGCTTCTCCCAAGCAACAAGTGATAGGACAAGAGGAAATAGCTTCAAGTTGCACTAGGGGAGGATTAGGTTGGATATTAGGAAAAAAATTATTCACCGTTGTGAGGCATCGGAATAGGCTGCCTAGGGGAGCAGATGAGTCACCATTCCTGGAGGTATTCAAAAGACAAATAGATGTAGTGCTTAGGGGCGTGGTCTAGTGGTAGACTTGGTGCTAGATTAATGGTTGGACTTGATCTTAGAGGTCTTTTCTAATGTAAATGATTCTATGATCCTGTGTTTCTATATGCCTCCATTTTGTCCAGAGACAAATCTCTAAACACTGGAATAGCCTTTCCAAGCATTGGGAAATTCTAAGTACAAATCTGAATCTTTCACTTGGTCTCATATATAACATTATCAGGAAAAAAATAAAAATTCACTTCTTACATGGGCCAGTTCATGTTTTCTCATCTGGCTACTAAAGGAGCTCTGCCAGATTTGAGTTCTTTGCTGAAATACTGTTTCAGGTGAAGAGATGTGCATACTGATTACTTGCATGTAGAGATTATTGGGTTCTGATAAGCTTCAACTGATGACTCTATGCAGTTGATTGGCATTGTCATAAAAAGCATATATTTTTTTTCTGCATTATGAATTAGAGTGTACCAAGTAGCAGATACTCACAAAAATGTAGTAGGTTATTACTAAGTCTTTGTAGAGGAATTTTAGACTCTGTTGTAATTATCGTTCTGCTTACTAAATCTTCTATGTTTTGTAAATACATAGGTAGCAAAACCACCAAAGAAAAGCTGTTTTCCTTGGTTAAATTAGCATTCTGGGTTGGATGCCACCAAACTCCCTAATTAAGTTTAGTACAGTAAAAGAGGATGATATGCATGAGACTGCAATACCATGTGCATAGTACCTAATGGTACAGGCCAATAACACAAACCTGGCAAAATGTTAGGATAAGTATGCGTTATGGATGAGGCATTTTTGCTGCTGCTGCTGCCTGATATGACACACATGGTTTCCAGTAGCTAAATGTATGGTAGTTAGTTTCTGCATCCAACACTGCTGTTCTTCTACTGACTGCTTACATCAACTAGCCTTACATTTGTTTTATTGCTTCTGTTGTCACTTTATTTATTATGCTTTTATATAGCTTTATAGATGTTTGCAGCACTTTATAAAACATAGAATTAGACAACCTTGTTGCCACAAAGAGCTTGCAATCAAAGTTCTGATCTTGCACTGAACTTTTATTCAATGTATAATCCCACTGAACTTAATGGAATGCCACACAAGAATAGAGTCTACAAACAGATCCCACTGTAAGGCTTGGTCTTAATATGCCAACAACTCGATACTAATCCAGAAGTTGAGGGTGAGCATCCAGGCATAAATATGTGTCTTTACATCTTGGCCTATGCCATAGCTATAATCTCTGCCATTCATGTCACAGTGCAAGGAATCTGCTTTCTCTGGTTATGATGACCATTAATCTTTCTAAAATAAAATATGGTCCCTACTTCCATGTCTGCATGAACCTCATTTTGCTGGAGTCAAGTAATGAGAAAACACTCATGACTGTAACTAAAATGGTTTGAGAACTGGGATCTCTTAAAATATTTCTTAATTTTCTCCTCATTCTGGCACCAAGGCAAATGGGTAGGTGAGTCCAAGAAAAATAAGAATTATCCAAATATTATTTAACATAAGTCACACAGGTCCCGAATTCCCAACAAGATACATCAGATGTAATAGTTAGCACTTTGTATCCTTACAATGGAAAATAGCAAGTGTTGTAAAGCTGAGATTATCCTAAATAAGGATTGTTCAAGTTCTTTAGACCTCTGTCCACAGAGGAACTTGTGAAGTCTCATTGCTTGTGAAAGTAAGTCCATTGTATTTTAGTAGTATAAATCTGGAATTAGGAATTTCACATCAGGTACCTGAGACTGAGAATATTTTTGTCTCTAAAATTTGTTGTTTAAGTTTTGGAATAGTGCTATGACTTCTTTGTTCAAATTCTAATACCGTTAAATAATCTGCACTTCTGGTCATGGCAATAATTTGGTGTTAGCAAGTGGTTGGCTGGAGTGGTTACTGATGGAGTTTTATATAAAGAAGTATAAAGCATGTAGTTTATTGTAAAAGTAAAGTCCAGATAATTTAAGGCCTGAGTCTAAAATGTGGCTTAATATCTTTTGATTCCTTACCAGTTCTGGAATGATCTGGCAGATAATCAAGTCTCCAATTAAGATTCGAGCAATTCATGTTCTTCTAGCCTACACCTCTCTGCCTCTGTCATAAAGAGCATGGAAAGACCACTGAAGGTAGGGAACTGCTAGTAGTGGTCTTGTCCTCAGCCCTCCTGACAGAACAAATGGAGAAAGTGAAGGCATGTCAGGGTTCACCTCCAGTAGAGTTTGATTTGTGCAAGCTTTTAAAGCTGTAAAACAAGAGTGCAGTCCTGGTTACCCAGCTACTTGTACAGAGGGAGCTACTGGAATTCACTATGGCACTTTGTGTGTCCATCTACATGGATTTACTCCAAAAAGGAGTTTATCCCAGGTGGGGATGAACTCCCCACTGAGCTCACCAGCTTGAATTGATTATGAAAATGTTAATTTCTCATGTAACTTCAGGATTTTATTTATTTATTTAGTTATTTTTGGTGCGTTCTTTGTGTATGGGGGACAAAAAGAAAAGGTCTTATCATTTCACAATATAAGCCTGTCTTTAGCAATTGGCCTTTCTAGGGAGTGGGTTAATTCATATCTGTCTAACAAGGAGTTGTTTGTGTTCAGTACTGGACACTGTCAGACAAGCATGCTGAAGCAGTTGGGATCTGATCCATCATAACGCTTCGGATAGTCCTGAAGTAGCTAACAAATATCACATGAAAACAGGTGCCAAGAATATCACATATATTTGGGCTGATACATAAATGCCCTATTCAGTTTCTTGTTTTCTCTTGTCAAACCCATTGTACCTATTAGGGTTTTAACTGAAATTGTTTTAGGTCTGATTTTTTTGTGTGAAGCTTGCACAAGTTGAGGAGATATGTGGTATAGCTGCTGAATTTGTCCCTCTATCAATGAAAATAAGTGGTCTAGAAGGCTGGAATGGTTTGAACCTAACTTTAGCCATAACAAAACAATGCTTCAAGAAAGACAAAGGAAAGGGATACAAGTGACATCTCAGCTTCACATCAAACCAATAAAAATAATTTGTCCTGGGACGGCATTTAAAATACTCCTCTTTAATTGCAACGAGTGGGTCCTTGGCTTTAAACTAGCTGGGACCAGTATAGGCAGACAGATTTTAACACCCAATGAGGCTTATCACCCAATTTCCAAAAGGGAATATTTATCCTATTTTTAGATGGTTTTTGTTTGCTGAACATTTCTGAAGATATGATCATATAATACTGATTGTACTGTATGCCAGAATGGTGGAATCATTCCCAACCTTTTTCTTACATCTTTTTCTTATGTCTAGATTCCTATTTGGAGGAAGAATATCCCCAGATTTATAAATGTCTAGCCCTGAAAATGCTTAGCAACTGCATGTAATCTGCATTTTTATCCTGCAAAGAGTAAGTAGAAACCCTTTGGGTGTGTGTTGTATATGTTAATGGTCTGGACTACTGCTTAGTACTTCAGAATAGTTCCTCACTCATTTTCTGCAGCCAACTACTTGTAGATCTTTGCAGATTTTAGTGCTAAAAAAAGCCCTCAAAATTGTAAACATGTTCAGTCATGTGAGAATCTATCAATCTAGTACATCTTGGAAATGCAAACCATATTCTGAAGGAAAATGATAAATGAGAAGACGGTATAAAGCTGAACCCAAGACTGTACTTGAGGCTTGCTTAGTCTTTTCTTGGCAAACACTTTAATCTTTTCTTCTGATACTCCATATCTAGGGTGCCAGCTGTGTGGGCAATATGAATACTTCTTTCCCATGTTGTATTTTTCTCTTGTAGGTTGTGACCCTTTTCAGAACACATCAGCAGAATTAAAAGGGCTGAGGGGGAGTTTTCACTTGCTTTCTGATGGCAAGGTAGGACTTTCATGTATGTCTGACTAGTTTAAGGAATGACTGCTTGGTAATGGAGGAGTGGATAAAAAATATTAAAGAAAAGTTCACACAGTATGGGAAATATATTACGCTGTTGCTCTGAAAAACACAAGTTATGTTTATAGTATGCATCATCTAATCTCTCCTCCTCACTCTTTCTTTCTTTCTGAATATCTCTGCTTCACTTCAGTTCCTTTGCTCATTTTATTATTAGGAACATTTACGGGAAAGAGAATTTATGGTCTCCTTCTGCTAATAAATGTTAAGGAATATGACTTAAAATAGGGAATACACAGCAGGAGATGATGAACTCTTAATAAACAAATATCCTGTTTTCATGCAAATATTCTTAGTAACACAAACAAAACAAAGCAGAAAGGGAAATGCAGCCAAAGTGTTATACAAACTGTGGTGTAATTAAATAGGACGGATTTCAGAATTTTCCAGAGGCCAAGAAGAGTTTCAAGTTATCCTTCAGATTTTTCCAGCTCAGTCCTTCACATGGTTTCATCCCATAATATTGGATGGAGGGTTGGAAAAGGAGAATTGGAAGAATGACAAAGTAACCTGAGAACTTTGCAAAAATTCTTAGTGCCTGTCTTGCTCCATATCTTCTCCTTGACAAGAGACTGACCTTATAACTTGGCAGATTTTGTTGCTTGATGGTTTTGGAGTTTTAAAATTTACCAAGGTCATGTTGTGATTATTGTTCTGGTGGAAATACCATCTCCCTCCACAACCATAATCATGATACTCTGCAAAAGGTATTGATGCTACTTAATTGGCATTAACTCGAACATTTGTCCATATTAACATGCTGGAATAAAATTCAGCAGTTTTCCTAATGGTGTAATAGTGGCATAAAAACTGGGGAGTGATTAATGAGAAAGGAAAATTTAAATCATACGGTCATTTGGATACAACAAATAGCATGTCTGAATATGGCCAAATTCTCCCTACACCTACTAGCTAAGGGGACAGCTGTAATTACAGGAGAGGGGTCCCAATTTTGGAAACAATGAATAAAGATTTGGAAATGAAAATGGATAATTATTGATTGTTACCTTCTGGGCCACTGCTGTGGCCAAAACAGCTGATATGATCCATACACAAACAAGCAAAGGAATCTCAAGACACATTTTATTTGGTCTTGATACAGTGGTTATTGGGTTCTAAGTGTGCCCAAACATTAAGTTTTCAGGTTGGATGGTCAAAATCTGATCAGAAAACAAATGCCAGGATAAAGAAGGCATTAGGAAATATCTATGTTTTGCATTCATATTTATATTGTTTAGTCTTACTATGACAAGGTGTTATTGTTGATACATACCTCTAAGGTGAATAAAACTTGAAAATTGGGATAACCAGTCTAGCAGAGAAAGTTGTCAGAAGATCCAATGACTCCAAGTTGAAAACTTGGATAAATTAATATTAGAAAGAAGGAGCACATTATTAATTATCACTGGAGAATTTTCCTAAGGGTTGTTGTGGAGTCTGTTACACTGCCATTTTTTACATCACAATTGTGTACTTTGACAAAAGAGAAGCAAAATACTCACTTTCATCCAGAGTGTATTGTTTTCTTTTTGGGACAGATGTACCATCTGTCCCGAAGAGTAAATTAATGTCAATTTTCTCTCATTTTGAACTATGTAGATCTTAGCCCAGACTTAGTTTGTGCCCAAATTCAGATCTGAGCTTTGTGGCTAGTCTTTATCTTGTTTGTATATCAAACCAAAGCCTATTTCATGAAAACTCTTGAATTACACAAAGTCATTTATGTAGCCAAAATTTGTGTCTGGCTCAAAACCTTCTATTGTGTTGAAACAGTATATGGTTTCAGCTATCTTTAAATCTGGGGAAAGTCTGTACTTGAACTTCACAGTTTGAGAGCTTCTGTTTTTTCTTTGTTATACTCATGGGATTGCAGGCATGTACCATGCATACTGTTGTATAAATGCCTCATGGTTCCTGACTTTGTCAAAGGAAGAGGTTTTCTATCTGCTGAAATGTTGTGATACACTTACCAGGTTATAGCCAGAACAATCATATCATCCTTGGAAAGAGTATGGGACAGATATAACTCACTGATAATTTTGAGTCATTACAGTCTTTTATTCTTTCCTACTTTTACTAGGTTTTATTTACATTGAGGGAAAATATCTCTAAGAGTAATAATTTGCAGGAATTTTGTTTGAAACTGTAGTAAATTTGCTTGATGGGTACATCATGATACTGGGCACGCTTACAAGAGCTTAGTGGTGTGGTCCTGGGATGTATAAGGGAAATGGGGCTGTTCAGGGGCTTGGAGCCAAGCTGCAAACTCAGCTCCTCCAGAGCACGCTGGTTGTAAGTACCCAGCCCGAGAGACATGCATGTGAATATTTCTCCCCTGCCAAGGTGCTTTTTCCTCTGAAATTTGTCACATTTGTAATATTCAGGATAAATCATTTCTTCACTGTTCATCTTAAACCTGTTAAGAATAATACAGGGTGTCTGGCCTGGGCCAGCAAGTGCTGTCCCACATAACTGAAGGCCAAACACATGGCAGGTTTAGATGGCTTGAATAACATCTACTCCAAAGAGCATTTTGCTGCAGGTGCCGTAAGCCTCACAACAAACATTAGACCCCACAGTATAAAACAGAATGTCACAACTGTACTATATCTTCTATTTCATTGGCATATAATTGTCATTTAAGCAACATGGCCACCATTTGCTATGAGCCTACTGATAAGTCTTTTGCCTGGTTCTTGAAGTGAAATAATCTGACAATTCAAAAAATCTCTGTGTTGCACCATTGAGTACTAATGGCCATTAAAAAGTTCTTAGGAATCATTTCCTTGGTAATTTTGAACCTATTAAATAGGCTGACCTTTGAAGTTTAAAGACGGGATAATTTTGGACGAAGGTCCCCTTTTGCAATTTATGCCATAAATCATTTTACATTTTTCATTTCAATATTGATTAAAAATATTTATTCTAGCAGGCTTCTGGCTTTTACCTTTTAAAACAATAAAATTGATTAAATTCCTTTAATCAACTTTAATTCTTTTCTTTCAGAAAATAAATCCAAATATACAATATATTTCATGGCAAATTCTTGATATATTTTATTCTTTCACATGATGTATGTAATTGATGTATGTTGATGTGTATATATTATTGTGCTTAAAGGATTGATACTGTTTCCTTTGTGGCATGAGAAGCTGATGGATTTTAATTGCCAGATACAGCAGTGCATACAATAGTAAAATGTTGCTGTACCGCATGCTCAACTTTGTTGTCTTCCCTATTAGACTGGAAAATGTTTTAATGACTTCATTTTTTTTTTTTTAAATGATGCCAGGACAACTATGGGCATTGCATGCTTTCAAAAATTCAAATAAAACATATAATTTCAATTTAATCCAAATTTTAGTCATATAAACAGTTGATTAGGAATGAGTAAAACCTTATACAAGAATAAAAAATAAATATAAAGCATCTGTTCCACAGTTTATGTAACATGATCTGTAGTATATTTAATTTCTTTTCTATCCAGAGGTTTATATGAAATTGCATGGTCTGATTTAAAGGGCTAATATGCACTTCAAAACACCTATGGTTTTGCAGCAATGCATTAAGTAACACCCAATATGTTCTCCTGGTTGTCCTCCGTTTGGCTCTATTTGTTGTCCTCTATTTGGCTTGTTCTTGTGGAGAAGGAATGTTACCATTGGCTTTTATGTACTGCTCTCTCTATCAAACAAAGGTGTTAGTACAGAAGTTTATAGTGCTGTAGTCAACTTCTTCCTCTCTTGACAACATATACACCATAGTCTTTTAGGTTTATTTGGGCTGCTGTGTGAAACACTAGGATATCTAGAGTACTTTTCAAAGGAACAAAGTGGAATTAAGTAGTCAACTTTTGCTGAGTCTTAACAATTAAAATGCTTCATTGTACTTTAGTAAGTCATTCCCCAAACAGTGGCCATTACAGCAACAGTAAACATCAACCGAAATGTTGCATCTGCCTTCTCCAAACCTTCTAAAAGGTTTAAAATAAGTTTTCTAAAGTTTGGACCAGGAGTGAAAGTGGACTGAAATTTCCTGAAGTTGAACTTCATGAACTTTTGGATTATTTGCTCACATATTTATACTGGAAAGGATGCATTTTGTATTTGTTTGGTATCATTTCATAATGTATTTATCTTCTGGTAACTTGGAAACATTCTCCAGAATACTTTGTCTAAATATAAAATATTAAAATTGGCCCCTAAAATAGGCATTCCCGTATAATTTGTATGTAATGTCTTTTGTTGTTAAGTATAATGGCTTCTGGACGTATGCTTGGAACCCAAGACTGATCTCATTTTCAGCAATGGAAGATGTACATAGCTCTCTTGAAAACAGACAAAGATCCAAACAGGCCTTTTGGTGAAAAGCTGCCTGTTTTGGAGATTTTTTTTTTTTTTTCCAGTTATGAAGGGTTACTAGCATTTAATTTCTGTTTAGAGAATCTGTAATAATCTTGTTTTGCCTGATCTGCTGTCTCTTAGAGTTGTAATATTGGCTCTCTAGAGCCCATTCAAATGCTTTTAACACTACTTGTTCAAGATTTTGCTTGTTAAGATGATAGTCCTGCATGATTGCAAGTCCTGTAAGGGCTGATGTTCAGAAACACAGAATGGTCTGGATAGGTTTTGATTCAGGGTGTCTAATGCCTGCCTCTTTGTCCTGCTTTCTGAGTACTTTGGAAAACCCTATCATTTGAAATCTCATGATGTGATATTGCTCTTTACTGTGTGATTTGGTACGGGCAAGATCACCCCAATATGCTCTGCCCCAGGTCTTGATTGACAGTGAATATGTGTGGTGGAGGAAATGCACACACACACGTAAAAATATATATTTTTTGAGCCTTGTATTTTATTTTTAGTATTAGTACTTGTGCTAACTTTGTCTCAAACACACAAAGGCCTTTCTATAATCCACCTTTTTATTTATT